ATGAATTAATGTAATGATAAATGAATTAATCATTTTTAAAATATTTATTTGAAAGTCAGAGTTACACACACAGAGAGAGAGAGGGAGAGAGAGGGAGGGAGGAGTGAGGGAGGGAAGTCTTCCATCTGCTGGTTCACTCCCCAGATGGCCGCAACGGCTGTGCCGATCTGAAGCCAGGAGCTTCCTCTGGGTCTCCCATGCAGGTGCAGGGGCCCAAGGACTTAGGTCATCTTCTACTGCTTTCCCAGGCCATAGTAAGTAGCTGGGTCTCGAACTGGAGCCCATATGGGGTGCCAGTGCTTCAGGCCAGGGCGTTAACCCGCTATGCCACAGCACAGGCCCCTAATTTATTTAATCCTTATTATCAGCACCCTGAGAAAATTATTTTCTTGTTTCTACTGAGAAATAAAGTGAGGCTCAGAGCATTGAATCACTCACCCAAGGTTCTCCAGTAACCTCTTGGAGGGCTTGGATTTAAACCCAGTTCTTCCAGTCAGTATAGCCTGTATATTATAGCTCTAAAACACCAGACTCTGTTCTTGTCTACATGAACACACTTCTCTCTGTACAGACTATTTTTACATTTTTATAACTTTTTGCCTCATAAGAGCTTTTTCTGAATTAGGAAAACCACACTTATAATTAAAAAAAGGGAGCACAATGCAGGTTTTGAGGGGTGGTTGGGGACAGTATGCTTAGAAAAGATAGGATACTGCATTACAAATTTTGCTACCAAACAGTAAACATTAGAGCTTTAAAATTTCCCATTTTTAATGTTTTAAAAAATGTGAATTAAATGTGTATACATTATCACATATGCAAAGGGTATGACTTTATTAAGAATATTCTATATAAATACAACTTGAAAATACTTTATTCACTTGCTACAAACTTTACACACATTATATTTACTTAATTTTCACTGTATAGATTAAATTAGACAATTACAGCCTTGTTGGACTTTATTCTTGCTTGGCCTGAAGGGAAACTACTACAACTCAATTATTCTAAGTGGCTAGGTTCATATGTGGTTTAACCAAACATTTAGCATGTTATTGATGAACAGTGGGAACTCAAATTTTTGCTTGAAGTGTGAGAAATTGTTGTATATCCATTTGATGAAATAACTTGACAGACATTAATCAGATTTTCTGAATAATTTCTACATTAACAGATACCAAACTCAAATTTTGAGATAGTCCGTGCTGAATTTTCACATTTATTTTGTGTTTCTTAGGTTTGATACTAAACTTCTTGGTACTTTTAAACAACAAGGTTTAGGTATCTGTATTGTGAAATAGCAGGTTAAGCGACACCAGCATCCCATATTGATTCTGCTCCACCTCTGATCTAGTAGTACCTGGGCCTCTGCCACCCACTCTGGAGACCTGAAAGAAGCTCATGGCTTCAGCCTGGCCCAGCCTTGCCCATTTTTGCCATTTGGGGTATGAATCAGCAGGAGAAAAATCTTTTCTCTCTCTCCCTTTCAAATCTTTATAAAAATGTTTATTTTTATTATATATTTGAAAGACTGACAGAGGGAGAGATAGAAAAAAAATCTTTTATCTCCTGGTTCACTCCCCAGCTGGCTTCAATGGCCAGGACTAGACCCATGCCGAAGCAGAAGCCCAGAACTCCATCTGAGTTCCCCATGTGGGTGTCAGGGGCTCAAGTATTTGACACATCATCTATTTCTTTCCCAGGTGCATATTCAGGGAGCTGTTTAGAAGTGAAGCAGCCTAGACTGTATATAGAATGCAACATCACAGATGGTGACGTAACCTGCTTGCTGTACCACAGCCCAGGCCCCAAAACTTGGTTCTTTGAAGTTGGTCAGATCACTGTTTAAGAGATTTTTCCAGGATCTGGAAATAATATGAATTGTGCTGTTCAATCAGAAATGACAACATCATGAAGTACAGTGGTGAAATCATGCAACAGCTATGGAACTTGTTAAAAAGTAAAAGACATAAGATTGGATTCTACAGTAGTCAAATCTGCTTTCGCAGGTGCTTTCAAAATGGCAATATAAGGCTTTTGAAAATGTATCCTTTTCTTTTGAAACAATGTTTAAAATATACAAAGTTTTTAAAAGTCAGATTTCTCCCAATATGTTTTGCATTTTCTATTGCTGATCTAAATCTAAAAATATTAGCATGCTGTAACCATCTTTCTTGTAATCCAAGGCAGTGTTTGCCTGCAAACAATGAAAAAGATTCATATTGAACTTTAACATCAGAATGTACGAAGAATTTGAGACAACTTCTTCTAAATCCTGAAAAATATAAAAACATAGATTTATTTAATGTGGAACCAACTGAAGCTGATTTCCAATTCTTAGTGTCAAAGAAAAAAGGGCTAAAATCTTACCCCTTGATGTGTTATTCTATTTTAAGTTTAAAAAACTTGGCCAGCGCCGGGGCTTACTAGGCTAATCCTCTGCCTGCAGCACCGGCACCCTGGGTTCTAGTCCCGGTCGGGGCACAGGATTCTGTCCCAGTTGCTCCTCTTACAGTCCAGCTCTCTGCTTTGGCCCAGGAGGGCAGTGGAGGATGGCCCAGGTCTTTGGGCCCTGCACCCGCATGGGAGACCAGGGGGAGACACCTGGCTCCTGGCATTGGATTGGAGCAGCGCTCCGGCCATGGAGGCCATTTGGGAGGTGAACCAATGGAAAAAGGAAGACCTTTCTCTCTCTCTCTCTCTCCGCCTGTCAAACAAACAAACATTGGCCTTCTAAGTCTGATTTAACAGTGATGAGTCAAAAAAAAAAAAAAAAAAAAAAGGCTGGCGCTGCAGCCCACTAGGCTAATCCTCCGCCTGCAGCACCGGTATTCCTGGTTCTAGTCCTGGTTGGGGTGCCAGATTCTGTCCCGGTTGTTCCTCTTCCAGTCCAGCTCTCTGCTGTGGCCCGGGAGGGCAGTGGAGGATGGCCCAAGTGCTTGGGCCCTGTACCCGCATGGGAGACCAGGAGGAAGCACCTGGCTCCTGGCTTCGGATCAGCGCAGCACGCTGGCCATGGTGGCGGCCATTTGGGGGGTGAACCAATGGAAGGAAGACCTTTCTCTGTCTCTTTCTCTCACTGTCTAACTCTGCCTGTCAAAAACAAACAAACAAACAAACAACAAGAATCATGAGTAATGAGTGATTTCGAGTTTTCTTAAAATGCTTTAAAAAATTCTATCCACCCTTGTAACATTTTGGGGGATAATACTTGGTAAGCAAAGCTACAACAAAAACTAAAAAAAAAAAAAAAAAAAAAAAACACCCATAAGCAGCTGATTAGGGAAGTATCTTTCCTTAGAATATCTTAGAAATTCTACAGAATTTGCCCAACTTGTGTGATGACCAGGAATTATTTTTCAATTTGGTGGAGGTTGCCTATATTAAATTTGAGGGCCAAACTTCACATTCATATTCTACTTTTGAAAATGGTGAAGTCTAGAACTTTAACCCTGGAACTATATCATTTCCAACTTTCAGAAGAAAATATCACCTACTTTTACATATTAGGATTTCTTTTGACACTTTTACATTTGATAAACATTTATATTTTAAGGAACATTTAAAAACATCATACCCAAATTATTAAGTATTAAATAAAGTTATCTAAAACATGCATGCAAGCTTCATACTTTATTGATTTTTTTGCAACAAACATGTGTGTCAGTTTATTGTTATCACATGAAATCCAGCACAAATACAGATAGTTAAGTTATTTAGACTTTTAACACTTTGTAACAATGGAATATTTCTGATTCAGACTTCAAAACAGGAAAGGGGGTAGAGAGATGAATGAGTAGTAATAGACTATGATTCATCATTCAAGGATAAAGGATTTATAAGCACTGAGGTCTGATGATAAATTCTTCAGTGAAGGGTGTTCCTTTGTTTTCTTTGGGTCTCTGAAATATGACTATATATATATATATATATTATAATCCTAAGGAAACACCCATTTTACATACATATATGGCAGTAAAATGGGTGTTTCCTTAGAATTATTACCTCATTTCTTTCTGGTGGGACTGTAAATTTTCTAGGCAGACAAAAGAAGTCTTTCTGTGTGAGGCTGTGTGTAATATTCCTGCTCACTTGGTCTTTGTTCACATGTATCCAAACTGTAGTGTAGCTTGGGTAAAAAGTGACTCACTTTACCTTTCTATATCTTGTCTAGTTTACCTCTCTCTATATTAATATATTTCTAATGATATTTCCTTCCATAATGCTTATAATTTTTCCCTAAGGATTTGTACTTGAATATGCATGCTGATACTTTTCTTGCTTCTTACTTAATTTTCCATGGTGGGGAGAGGAAGGGAAGGAGATGCTGAATAGTTGGTAAGAAAACACCTTCCTTTGGAACTAGAAGATGCTTTTCTGCCTTTATAACTATAGATATTATTTTTCATTCTTGCCTATAAATGGTAGCCACTTTTACAGGTAAATAGGTTTTTCTTCCCTTCTTCACTGGAAGGCATCTGTAGTGTTTTGAAACCTATCTTATTTACAAATACTGAAAAATAAGGATTATAGGAATTTTTTTCATGGTTTTAAATTCATGATTTTCACTTTTTAGACCAGCATTTAAAACATTTAATGGTCAAAAAGTCACTTTCTCAGAAAATATGCTCATTTCATTCTCTTGATTATCTAGTAGTTTCACTAGGTTTTCCTTTAGATCAATGCTTGAGAGGAAATGTTAAATGAATTTCATGAGTAAAAATTTTCATTATCTCCTACTTCTTGAGGTTAATTTTCCATCAGTGTAATGGGGAAATTTTCTATTTTATAGCTGTAGATGAAAACATTCCATCTTATACAGATTCTGTTTCTCTGTACTCACAATATTATACAGTTTCCTTAATCTTTTAGGAAAATCATATGCCATTCTATCATCACAATTGTGTATTGCATTTTTAAATGGAAAAAAACACTGTATATCTGATAAGTGTTTTTAAGATTTAATTTTGCTGCATATATAATTTAGAATTATCAAAGCTCATTTTTTAGGGGAAACAGCTAATATCTTAATGTTTGTGTTACATTTATGTTAGCTTTGTCACTGTAAGCATTGCCCTTCTATTTCCAGAATTTGTAGGACAGAACTGATAAAGAGAATGGGACTGTGATAGCTTTACACTCATCTTTCACAATAGCAAGTGGTTTTAAGAGTATTCCTCCATAGAGGTATAGGGTGAGCTTATGAAACTTGAAGTGGTGGAGGCAGATTTGGAATTCCTGCGGGAGCAGCCATTGAAGTTTGGGTCTCCTGGTGTAGCTCTCTTCTTCCGACTGGATCTGGTGTTGTCTGCGTCACTTGGGTCAAACACCACTGTCATGGACTCCATCCTGGTCACGGTGTACAGGCTGCTTTGCCGAGTTGGGTGAAACCTGGTGGTCTTGAGCTCTAGCTCATCATAGCTAGAAACCTGGATGAAAGGGCACCAGCGAAATGCTCTCTTGAAGCCAGCTCGAAATCTTAGGAGAAGCAGACCAGAGAAAGGAAAAGTCATATTTTCAAGTAGATACTTCCCTCAGTTGCCACAGAAAAACCCTACTTCAGGAAGCTATGGTAAATCAGTGTTTCAATTTGATTTTCCAGTAAAAGTCTTAGAGCCTATGCCACATATTGGTATTAGTTGTAGAAATTCTTGTTTGAATTGAGCCTTAATGTCATATCAGTAAGGAAGTCATTAAATAGCAAAAGCATAGCATCAGGGAACCAACCTACCAGAGAAACAGTGTACCTTTCTGTAATTATTGTATGTATTTACATAGACATAATTGAATCAGACTGGTCAGTTAAGGTACTTAAAAATGACACACAATATTTCAAAATAGCTTCTTTCAGACATAATTATGCATTTATAAAATCTCATTAGTCTAAGAATTACACATTTATACATCTTAAGAGTTTTTTGTAATCATATAGGAATGTACAAAATGCTTACCTTTGCAAAACATGAAAAGAACTTAACTAAAAGCAGATGGGTCGTTTAAATTGGAATATGGCTTATTAAGTTAGTGAAAAACAGTAAGAACTAATTATTTAAAAACTTAAAGCACAGTATGGTAGGGCCCTACCTGGGAAGAAAGCTTAGGATTTAGCTCATGTAGTTAATTACAATAAGTCCCATTTCTACTTATACCCAAAACATGTCTGTTTATTGAGGGAATTAATAACCTCTGAATTTTAAACCTACTTCTGTGTTGCTTCTACAACTAAGATGTTGTTTTTTTTTCCCCTGGAAAACATTTTACATTTTTTTTTCTAGTCTGAATTTTGACTATTCCTACTTTTTTTTTTTTCCCGACAGGCAGAGTGGACAGTGAGAGAGAGAGACAGAGAGAAAGATCTTCCTTTGCCGTTGGTTCACCCTCCAGTGGCTGGCACACTGCGCTGATCCGAAGGCAGGAGCCAGGTGCTTCTCCTGGTCTCCCATGGGGTGCAGGGCCCAAGCACTTGGGCCATCCTCCACTGCCTTCTTGGGCCATGGCAGACAGCTGGCCTGGAAGAGGGGCAACCAGGACAGAATCCGGCACCCCAATCGGGACTAGAACCCGGTGTGCCGACGCCGCTAGGCGGAGGATTAGCCTGTTGAGCCATGGCGCCGGCTTACTATTCCTACTTAAATACAACCATCATTACCTGGATTACCCCATTTATTCACTAACCATTCCCATGGAGGCTATGCCTTCTTCTTTCCCCCGCATTAGAGAGAAAGAGGGGTTGTCTCTATTGTTGCTCCCCACACTGTCACATCTATTCTGGATATATAAAATTTATTTAGAAGATGTTCTTTTAAATGTATCTGATTAATTTATGGCATCATCTATTTATCTTACAAAAATTATTTATGAATTTCTAGGAAGTGCCTTCATTTCTTTGAGGATTTCAGTACATTTTTAATACATCTTCTTCAATCATTAGGACATGTGTCTTTGGTAGACAAAATCCTGAAACTTTTGGAAGAAAAAGTTGGCCCATATAAAAATCTCCCAGTTACAACTTCTAATAATATTTTTTGAACACATAACTGTTAAGGTGGGGTATTTTGTAAAGTAAGGAGGAGTCTAAAAAATTAAGTTATATGCTTCCCAGTGGTGAATTTTTAGATTTTCTTTTCTTTATATTTTCACCAAGAAGCTAGGACAACATTGTAAGAAAGTAAGAATGACAAGAAAGTTGTAATAGGTCATTTGTTTTTACCTCTTATTCAGACAGCAGTAGATGATGGGATTGTACATGGTTGAACTCATCGCTAGCCAAAAGCTAGCCAGGTAGACCTGCTGGATATATTTCCACCTATTTAACTGTTGGTAGATCGCAGTGAGGATGAAGTAAATATGATAAGGCAGCCAGCAGATGGCAAATGTCACCACAACAATAATCATCATTTTTACAACCTAGAAAGAAAGAATTCATTTTTGGCAAATATAAAAATCATTAGATATAATAATTCCAATAACCAACTACAAATCAAAATTTTCTATCAATATAGTTAATTACACAGGATACCTAAGAAATACTCAACACTCTAAAATGATAGAGTAAAACGGCAAGGTCTGTCTTAAGAATGTATGTTTGTGTCACCGTTCCATCTCTACCTAATTGAATGGCTGGCATCAGCTAAAATATAAATAGATTTTAACTGATCTGAAAAAAAACAGCTGGAGGAGGAGAAAAACAGGAGCTGGGACTTGGCTGGGATAGCCTTCACTGTACAACATTGGGCACAGAGTTGAGTTACCATGTAGGTATTGGCTTGCAGGGTTTAGCTGGTTCCTCAGTATTTATTATAACTTGACTGCAACATAATAGTATTAAGATTTCTTTAATAACATGCTTACTAGGCAAACTTATGAATATTAATTTAGTTTCTCTTAATTCTACAGTGAGAAATGTTTCCCTGAATAGTGATTACGAATATTCAATTAGTTCAAGGAAATATTGCTAATTAAAAAATAATTTATTCAAAGGAGAGAGATACAGTTCTCCCTTTCACTGGTTCTCTCCCCAAATACTTTCAATAAGTGGGAGTCAGGCTGAAACCAGAATCAAGGAACTCAGTCTAGGTCTCCCATATGGCAGCAGGGACCCAACAACCTGAGGTACCATCTGCTACTTCCGAGGGTGGATGTTAGTGGGAAAATAGGATTGGGAACTGAGCTGACACTTGAGCTAGGGCACTCTAGGGTGGGATATATGCATGTCATGTGTTTTTTAACTGCTATGGCAAATGCCCACCCCAACTGTATATTTTTTTAAATAGGCAATAGCTTATACAACTGGTTTTATGTCAGCTCATTTATCAGTATGGTTCATTTCCTTGATTCCATTCTTTTGGGCCATAATATCATGAAAGACTCAAGGAAAAGTACAATGCCAATATCAATTCCTCCTCCACTAGGCCTTCAATTACTGAAAGGCATGGAAAATATCTAATATTCCCAGCAGTAGTGCTGTCCCTGGTGTGTAGATGGAGATAAAGCAATAGGTACAGATGAATGAGTGATGAATGGTAATGCACAATTTTTTGAATGACAGAAGGTATTGTGTCTAAATAAAATAGAATGTATTCAATTGTATGTTTCTATAAAAAGTGGTGGAATAAAAATATTGTACACTTAGCCCTTGGCTTTGAGCACAAAAGAGGAGTGCAATATTCTTATTTAATATTTCTCATCACTTATATGTCTAAAATTTGTTCATCTCTCTGGGGAAATCTTGAAATAATAAAAAGTTTAACTTAAGATATTAAATAGTTTTGAGGCTTATCTACAATCAGATTAATGCCAATCAGAGAAAATCTTAATGTAAATAGTATATGAGACAACTTACAATGAGGAAAATGCACTATTTATGAACTGGACTTGTCATCTGACTTCAAGTTGGGGACTCAGAAGAAAGTTGGCAAGGTTAAAAGTTAAGATTTGTGATTCTAGAAATAGACAAAGCATTAAATGGATCAACAAGGAAGGCAAAGTTTCCCCATGGGCATAATCACTGTGCCTTCCATGTTACTAGTATGGAACTGATGGAAAATGTGTCATCTGAGCTGAAAATCCAGGTCAATAGTTCACAGAATGGCATCTTTGAACACACCATGAAAATTCTTTTGATTTTCTCAGTGTGCTTCAAATTGCATCTTTTTCCCTGAAGAGCTGCATTCATATGTATGCATTTTGTTTCCATCTCCAGTATTTCTTATTCATATACTCATTTTTTAGGATTTAAGTCAGAGCTACAGTACAATTTACATTTCTAAGTATTTCACATATTTGACAACTTACTATCTTTCAATTGCACATTTGTGACCTGAGGAAAAGACCAATAATTTGATCACTATAAATCACATCATTAAAGTATTAAAACTTAGATTCTTAAACATTTCTTACTTCCTGCTTACATTGAAAAACACTTGTGAAAGGGTGTTTGACCTAGCTGTTAAGGTGCTGGTCGATAAATGAACAATAGAAGTGAAGGATAATGACTGTTACCATGGTAAGTTTTCTTAAATCCTGTCTCTAGTTAAGTTCTGATTTAACAAACTAAATCACGAATTGACTCATAGTGAAGTAATTGGAGAACTGATTGTCACTCTTACATTTCCAAGACATAGTATAGATTAATGTCATATTATTTGTATAGCAGGATGAACAAAACTGTTGTGAGTTAAAGTTTAATCCAGTGAATAACATGAGATAAAATTATAGAATTAAATAAAATTATTTTTATAGCAGATAAAAAAGATGCTGGTTGGGAAATCTGCATCCCATATTAAGGTATTTGTGTTTGATTTCTGGCTCTGGCTCTTGATTCTAGCTTCCCACTAATGCTGACCCTGGGAGGCTGCAGGTGCTGATCTAGAGAGTAAGTGACCTAGAGGTAATTTTTATTTCAAAGCTTTATACCCCACCCCAGACCCAGCTATTAGCATTCTATGAGTGAACCCTGGGATGGGAGCTCTTTCAGTGTGTCTGTCTCTCTGCCTCTCAAATAAGCAAACAAAAAGACCAACAGTACTGGGAGGGGGAAAATGTCAGATTAGGAAGCAGCATGCTATGCAGGGATAGGAAGAAAAAAATGTGGAGAATAGGGTAGGAGGTACACCACCCAGGAAGCTGCATAGGAGGAGGGGAATTGGTTTCAAACAGAACGGTGACTGTTCATGAGCACCTGAGCGGGTGGCATTATTGAGATGGGGTGGGGGATTGGTCTGTACCAATCCATGGGGACAGAGCCAGAGCATGACATGGGTCCAGACTGGAGCCAAGGGAGCTGGCAGTCCCCTGGGGTCCTGGAGAAGTGGAGGGGCACAGATGATTCAAAACCATCAGGGACTCTAGCATGTGCATGTGATCCAAAGCTACCAACAGAGGGAACAGCCCACAGCAACCCTACCTCAGAGCTCTGTGGGAAGGTGGCAGGGCAACTACAAAATACAAAGGAGTGCCTGCACCAACAGTGCTCTCTCATCTCTGTGTTTATGGGAGCCCTATATGCTAACAGCCTGGGACCTCTGTAGCTACCCAAAATGTATAGGGCGTAGCTGGATTTGGAGTTCTACCACATCCCACATGGGTGTTACCCTGAAAACTATCCAAACCCTAGAGCATTAACTCTGTGCCACACCCACTACACACTTCCTGGTATTCACTGAAAGGGCAGACACCTCATGAAGCCACAGAAGCATAACTCCAAAGATTAAAAAAAAAAAATGAAAAATCAACTCCACAAATGCTGAAAAATAAGTCACAATTCAAGAAGCAAGAAAGCATCAATCCAATAGGAAGATGTGACTATAATAAATGTATTTTTATCCAATTACAATGTTAATAGACCTAAAGGTAGTCAGTCGTAGGTTCCAATACAATAGTAACTGGGAACTTCAATACCCCACTTTCAAAAATGGACATATCAACCAGATAGAAAATTAACAAGGAAACAGTTAATCAACAGTGTAAACCTAATGTATATCTGCAGAACCTTTCACTTCACAGTGGCAGAATACAAATTCTTATCAGTACATGGGATATTCTCTAGGGTAGATCATATACTAGGCCACAGGGCAAGTCTCAACAAATTAAAAAAAAATCATTCCATGTACCTTCTCAGACCACAATGGAATGAAGCTAGAAATCAACAACTCAAGATTCTCTAGTGTGGTAGAATGAGAAGGTGAGAAGGTCATGAGAAGGTGAGAAGGTCATGCCAAGATGGCAGCTGACATCAGAAATTGCCTGGCAATCGGCCGTGACTGGATGGCTTCCGAAACCACATGACAACAGAGCCTGACTGACAGCAGGCCGATTGGATGGTTTCAGAAACTGCCTGGCAACAAGAGCCTGACTGGAAACAGGCTGTGATTGGTTAGGGCATAGACCACCCCATGACCGGATTGGCTGCCTTGGCTATATAAGCAGCTGTAGCAACTGAAATAAACGAGTCTGCGGGCTGCTCACCTCTGGCCTGCTTTCACTGGACTCCTTGGGTCTGTGTGGTGACTCTGCACCTCTTGCCCCCACCACGCTCCTCCTCTCAGAATGAATCCTCTCAGAAGAAATCAAAATCAACACTCTAGAACATATGAAACATGGAGGTAGAACAAAATGCTCCTGAATGAAGAATGCATCATAGAAATTAGAGAAAATCTGAGATAAATCTACAAAAATTAAGTCATGATGACATAGAAAACCTAAACAGACCAATAACCTAGACAGAAATTGAGTCAGTAATAAAGGCCCTGCCAACAAAGAAAAGCCTGGGACTGGATGGCTTCACTGCTGAATTCTAACAGACATTTAAAGAACAACTAACTCCAATTTTTCTCAAGCTATTCAAAACAATTGAAAAGGTGGGAATCCTTCCAAATCCCTTCTAAATCCAGAAAGAAGCAACAGAGAAAGAGAACTAGAGACCAGTTTCCCAGATGAACACAGACACAAAAGTCCTCAACAAAAATCTGGCCAATCAAATCCAACAACACATCAGGAAGATCATTCACCATGACCAAGTGGGATTTATCCCTGGTACACAGGGATGGTTCAACATTTGCAAATCAATCAATGTGATACACCACATTAAAAAACTGCAGAAGAAAAACCATATGTTTATCTCAATAGATGTAGAGAAAGCATTTGATAAAGTGAAACACCCTTTCATGATGAAAACTAAGCAAATTAGGTATAGAAGGAACATTCCCCAACATAATCAAGGAAATTTATGGCAAAACCATGGCCAGTATCCTATTGAATGGAGAAAATTAGGAAGCATTCCTACTAAGATCTGGAAATAGACAGGAATGCCCAATTTCACCATCACTATTCAATATAGTCCTTGAAGTTTTAGCCAGAGACATTAGGCAAAAGAAGATATCAAAGGGATACATTTTGTGAAAGAGAGA